TATTGTCCCTTAGTTTCTGTATAACATCTGTCCAGGACCTTCTGATTTTCATTGTTTCCATAGAGTAGTCAAGTATAATTCTATAAGTCTGCCTTATTGTATTATCTGGCCTTTCTCCTTTGCAGATGTTAATATTTTTTCTTTATACTGTAGGCTTATTGTTTTGAGTATTATGTGGCAAGGGGAGTTCTTTTTTGGTCTAGTCTATTTGGTGTTCTGTAAGCTTTTTGTGCTTTCATAGCCTTGTCCTTCTTTTGGTTTGGAAAGTTTTCTTCTTTGGTTTTGTTGAATATATTTTCTGTGCCTTTGAGTTGACTTCTCCTTTTATCACTATTATTCTTAGGTTCTGTCTCTTTTAAAAATATCTTCTTTGTTTTACATACCAACCATGGCTCCCCCTCCCTCTCCTTATCCTGCTCCCACATCTTACCTATTCTATCCCACCCACTCCTCAGAAAGGTTAAGGCCCCCCCATGAAAAGTCGTCAAAGCCTGGCCCATTCAGTTGAGGCTGGACCAAGATCCTCTCCTTGCATGGAAGCTGAGCAAGGCATCCAACCGTATGGAATGGGCTCCAAAGAACCAGCTCATGCACTAGGGATAAATCCTGGTCCCACTGCCAGGGGTTCCCACAAACAAACCAAGCTGCAACACTGTCACCCACACACAGAAGGCCTAGTTCAGTTCCATGCAGGCTCCCCTGCTCACGGTGTAGAATCCATGAGCTGTCACATGTTTGGGTCTGCTGTCTCTATGGGTTTCCCCCATCATGATCTTGTCCTCCCCTTGCTCATATAATCCCTCCTCCCTCTCTTCCACTGGACTACCAGATCTCAGCCTGGTGCTTGGCTGTGGATCTCTAGATCTGCTTCCATCATGTACTGGATGAAGGTTCTATGATGACAGTTAGGGTAGTCATCAATCTAATTACAGGGGAAGCCAATTCTAGCACCTTCTCCACTATTGCTAGGACTCTTAGCAGAGGTTATCCCTGTGGATTCCTAAGCTTTGCCCCAGTACCAGGTTTCTCCCTAACCCCAATATAGCTCCTTCTGTCAAGGTATCTCTTTCACTGCTCTCACCCCATCCCACCCTCAACTGGACCATTCCTTTTACTCCTGTTCTCATCTCCCATTGCCCTCTCCTCCACCACCCCCACCCTCCGTATAGCCAGGAGATCTCAAAAGCTTTAGCCAGACAGTATTTCTAGGAGATAGTCTGTGGTTACAAACAGAAGACTTAGGGTATATAACAGTTGGTAGAGTGCTTGAGTAGCTTGCGCTATCTCTAGGACCACATATATCAGATGTGTTAGTGCAGAACTGTAATCCCAGGTCTAGGAAGGTGGAAACAGGAAGAGACTTTTTATTTAAATTTAAATTCAAGACAAGGTTGCTTCACAAGTCAATCCCAGGTCCCTCTCTCTTTCCCTCCCCTCCTCCCATACCCTCCCACCAATCCCCTAATGCCCCCTCATTTCCCTAGGGAGAGTGAGGCCTTCTATGGGGGTGTCCATAGTCTGTCATTTCATCCAGGGCAGGGCCTAGACCCTCTTCCAAGAGTCCAGGGTGAGAGTACATCTCTCATTGTGTCATGGGCATTCAAAGTCAATTTGTATGCCAGGGATAAATACTGATCTACTACCCAAGGCCCCTTAGATTACCTAGGCCTCCTCACTAACACCCACATTCAGGGGGTCTTGATCAGTCCCATGCTGGATTCCCAGCCATCAGTCTTGGATTCAAGAGCTACTCCTTGTTCAGGTCAACTGTTTCGGGAGTTAAACCAGCCCAGTCTTAACCCCTTTGCTCATCAATCCTCCCTCTCTGTCTCCGGGTTCTTTGAGTTCAGCTCAGAGTTTACCTATGGGTGTCTGCCTCTGCTTCCATCAGCCACTGAATGAAGGTTCTGTTTCCCAGACTCTCTGGCCATGGGATTGTAGGCTGGCACTTCCCTGATCTACATCTAAAATCCATAAGGGAGAGTACAAACCACGTTTATCTTTTTATGACTAGATTACCTCACTCAGGATGTTTTCTTATAGTGCCAACCATTTGCCTGCAAATTTCAGGATTCCATTGGGTTTTTTTTTCTGCTGAGTAGTACTCCATTTTGTAAATGTATCACATTTTCTCTATCCATTCTTCAGTTGAGGGGCATCTAGTTTGCTTCCAGGTTCTGGGTATTATAAATAATGCTGCTATGAACATAGTACAACAGATGTCCTTGTTGTATGAATGTGCATCTTTTGGATATATTCCTAAGAGGGGAATTGCTGGGTTTGTGGTAAGCTTTTTCTGAGGAATCTCCATACTGATTTCCAAAGTGGCTGAACAAGTTGGCACTCCCACCAGCAGTGGAGGAGTGTTCCTCTTGACGAAGAGACATTTAATGCCATCTTTGTTTACATAGTGACCTTCAACCCATACCCCATTTCTACCAGACATGCACAGTATCATATCAGCGCATACCACATTCTTCTTTCATCAAACTCCTAGGAATTTCCCCAGTACCAGGTTTCACCCTAACCCTATCTCAAAAGACTAGGATTCTGGGTCATTCCTAGAAGTGTGCAGAGAAGAAAGCTGACCTTCAATTCACAGTTGGGCTCAAGCAAGTCAATGCATTAAGCTTCTGTTCTATACATAAATGTCATCTCCAGTCCAGGCTATATCACATCTTTGTGATTAGTTGATTTTATTGTTCAAAATACAGTGTTAAATAATCATCCAGTGTTCCTGAGAACAAGGAGACTCTGCCCTTCCATAGAAACTATTTGTGTTAGAGAAGTGTCAGTCCATCATGAATTGTAACACTATTGTCTATGAATTAACAATAAGTAAATATAATATGCCAAATGAAATATATTTGATAAAAAATTTAAATAACGTGTTAAACAAACATATTCAAAAATATATTAAATAAGAAACCTCTAAATACAATCAATTTAAAATAATATCTTGCATATACCTTAACTATGATATATGTAAGACAATATGCAAAACAATGTTGTATCTTAGTTGATGAAAATATTGTAACCAGAAACTAATGGTGTAAGTTCAGTGTGGTGGGTGACTCTCTGTGAGTTTGGGGCCAGCCTGGTATAAGGAGCAAGCTCCAGTACAGCCAGGGCTACATTGAGATCCTGTCTCAATAAGAAATAAATATAACTATGATTTTTCAGGTGAACCATGGTCTTGGCTAACACAGTATTTACCATGATTCTATTGAAAATAGAAACTGTGAGCAGTAAAAACCAATGACGGTCAAATATGCACACATGTTATACATGTAAACATGCACAGTGTATACAGGTGCACACATATACATAGATATGTGCATACATTGCGCATGCTTGCATGTATTTGTGTGTTTCATTTATTACACTTCATTTTATGTGCAGGTAGGGATGAACACGTGCTACCGCACACATGGGGTAGTCAAAGGGTAGTCATCAGGCTTCAGCACTCTCCCCTCACCATTAATCACATGGCCAGGGTATGTACATTCATACTAGGTTGGGTTAACCATATGAAAAACTGAGTACATCAAATATTTGGGACATAAACATGATTCCACAAGTGGAAAATTCCACTTCTTAACTCAGGTGACATACTGTAGATAAGATATAGGCACAGAGAGTTGTTGACTCCTCATGGGAGCTCTTACCCATGAGAGGAGTGGACTGGGGGTGGGCTGTGGGTTAAGGGGAGCAGGAGGAATTGTGGGAGGGAGAACTGTGGTTGGAATGTGAAACTATTTATTTATTTATTTAAGGAATAAATTAGCTGGGCATTGGTGGTGCATGCCTTTACTCCGAGCACTCAGGAGGCAGAGGTAGGCAGACCTACAGGGCGAGTTTCAGATCAGCCTCCAAAGTAACACAGAGAAGCTCTGTCTCAAAAAAAACAAACAAGGAAAAGCAAACACAAAGAATAAATTATTAAAAAGATGTATGCACACTAAAAGCATTGTGTAAAACTATCTTCATGGAGGAGAAGTGGTTCCGGGGATGCAAAAAATGATGTGTAGAACTGTCATCAGTGCTGGGAAGTGGTTTCAAGCAGTGAATACACTTGCAGTGTTAGCCTGACAGCTTGAGTTTGACCTCCAGAACCCATGTCTTTATAAAAGCTGAATGTGGTGACATACATCTGAAATCCCAGCATTCTTACAGAAATTTGGGTGGCAGACACTGGAGAACTGGCCAGTAGCTTCTGAGCCAGCTAGCATGGAGCATCCTGGAGCATATAGTACTAATACAGAGATACAGAGAGAGACCCTGCTTTGAAAATAACACATAGGAGAGAACCCTGAGTCTCAGAAGGTTGTCCTATTGCTTCCAAAATTGTGCTGTGCGTCATGTCCCCCCCACATCATTGTAATACTACATTTAAATTGCATATAAGGTGCTTAAGAGATAGAAAGGAATAAAAAAGTCAGCCTGTTGAACTTCCAGAGAGAAAGTCCCTGGCAGAGAAGAGAACCCACCCCCTTGGACAAGGCTTCCAAACACAAGAAAAAAGATAGATAGAGATGATGTTACCAAATTGGGAGTTTACAGCATCCAGTAGGCACTCACTGGAGAAGCTGAGGCAGCCAAGCAGAGTTCATAATGGTACTTTTCATCCAAGGCTGAATTGTAGACTTCTATTTCCCACTACAGACACTTTTATATCATCAGATAAATAATAAACCTCTGTTGGAGATGATTCACCTTCCAGCTCTTCTTGAGGACATGGTGTTTTTATTCTTGAGCTGTCTTATTCTCCCTCGCTCATGGAGCTAGAGCAAAAAACCGCTCAGTGCCAGAAATTAAGGGTCCTGAAGAGCACTTGACATACATCTGCTTGGGTTTGAAGAATATAGACAGGGACCCCACTTCTAGAGACAGCTTCTCAATCACCTGAAATAGCACATGACTGTTTGCCAGTATAATGCCCATCAGACCGTGTTGTGAGAGTCACTCTGACGGGATGGTCCTTTTCTTATCTACTGCAGGCATTCTTCCTACCTTGGAACCACTGGACTTCCACCTAAGGAAAAGACCACTGAGTTTGACAGAAGAAGAACGTGGTATGTGCTGATACTGTGCCAGTCTGTTAAAAATGGGGTATGGTTTGAAACGGGAAGCGTGGTTGCCTCATTAATGTAGACTGTATATGAGGATGGGTAGTGTCTCTTCTATTCACCAAGCTTTAGACACAAATAATGTTCGTGGGTTCCTGTGACCACAGGAAACCCATCCTCCAAACCATGTGGACACAGGAGATTAAAAACATCATGAAAGATGCTTTTCCATCTTTCTTAAGGGTCAGTCTTTTGTAGAGCTTGGTTATGAGCAGTCTCTCCCCTGCCCAAGAGCCAGCTTTGGCCCCAGCTAATTTAAAGAGCACCAGCTTGAGAGTGTACTTCCCAATGCCTCCAGCAAAACTCCTGGAATTGAGTCTAGTGAACAACAAAGGTCAAATTAGCTGACAAAAACCCTCCAATTAGTTAAGAGAAACTGGTGTATAGTTATTCCTCCATATCTTAGGGGAATTCATCAAAATGCATGGGTGATCCAGTCTCTTATATGCAATGATGCAGTATTTGCATTCAACTCACACACATCCCACCCATGGAATTCCAATCATCAGCAGGTTATTTTCTCATTGCTCATGAATTTCATATATGCACACAGTGTGCCTTGATCAAATTTACCTCTATTCCAACCCTTCCAATGTTCCCAAAACCCCATGTCACTTTTCCCTTCTAACTTCACAGGCTCTTTATTTTAAACTCACTGGGTACACTTAGTTCCTCTAATATGTGCATTGGTGTAGAGCTGTGGTGGTTTGAAAGAATATGCCCCCACTGTGAGTGGCACTACTAGGAGGTGTGGCCTTGTCAGAGGAAGTGTGACCCTGTGGGTGTGGGCTTTGAGGTCTCCTTTCTCAAGCTTCACTCACTATGACAGTCAAGTCCACTTCCTTATTGCCTCTGAATTAAGAGGGAGGACTCTCAGCTCCAGCACCACATCTGGATGCATGTTACCATGTTCCCCATCCTGATCATAACGGACTGAACCTCAGGAACTGTAGCCACAACCACAATGAAATGTTTTTATTTAAGACTTGCCATGGTCATGGTGTCTCTTCACAGCAATAAAAAAACCTAAGGTATTACCATCTACTGGAGCATAGACAGAGTCTGAGGGACCACATGCTGAAGAAAAGTGATTATTCTTCCACCAGAAGTTATCAATTGCTAATAGCTTCTTGGCTAGGGCTGGGATTTTAAGAGCCCGTGAAACTTCCATGCTGAGCTTTTGGTTGGCTTGACCTCCTACAGGTTTCTTAAATTTTATTTTATTTTATTTCTATTTAAATTATAAACAACCCTGCTTCACATGTCAGTCCAAGCTCTCTCCCTCCCTTCCTCCCCTGCCACAAACCAACCCCTTACCCTATCACCCCTCTGCTTCCCAAGGAGGATGAGGCCTTCCAGGGGAATCCTAACGTCTGTCATATCAATCAGGGAAGGGCCTAGGCCCTCCTTTATATGTCCAGGATAACAGAGCATCCCTTAACATGGAATGGGCTCCCAAAGTCCATTTGTATGCCAGGGATAAATACTGATCTACTACCAGAGGTCCCATAGATGGCCGAGGCCTCCTCAATGACACCCACATTCAGGATGTCTGTATCAGTCCCATTCTGGCCTCCCAGCCATCAGTCTGGGTCCTTGGGCTTCTCCTTGCTCAGGACACCTGTTTCTGTGGGTGCCACCACCCCAATCTTGACCCCTTTGCTCATCACTCCTCCCACTCTGCAACTGAATTCCAGGAGTTCAGTTAAGTGTTTAGCTATGAGTATTTGCCTCTGCTTCCATCAGCCGCTGGATGGAGGATCTAGGATGGCATATAAGGTAGTGATTAATATCATTACTGAGAAGGACATTTAGGGTAGCCTTTCTATTATTGCTTAGATTACCAAGCAGGTGGTGCCATCCTTGTAGATCTCTGGAAATCTCACTAGTGCCAGATCTCTCCTCACACCTAAAATGGCTACCTCTATTATGGTATCTCTCATCCTGTTCTCCTCTATTCTTTTCTCCCTACTCAGCCTTCCTGCTCCCCTATGTCTTCCTCTGCCCGCCTCTTCTCCCCCTCTTTCTCCCAGCTCCCTCTCTCCTCCATGCTCCTGATCTGCTCAGGAGATCCTGTCCCCTTCCTGTCCTTCAGAGTACCATGCATGTCCCTCTTAGTGTCCTCCCTGTCTCACAGTGTCTGGCAGTGTGGATTGTAGGTTAGCAATTCCCTGTTCCATGTCTAAAATACATATATGGGTGAGTAAATACCATGTTTGTCTTTTTGTGACTGTGTTGCCTCACTCAGGTGGTTACTTCTAGTGCCATCCATTTGCCTGCGACTTTCAAGATTCCATTATTTTTCCACTGAGTAGTACTCCATTGTGTAAATGTACCACATTTTCTCTATCCATTCTTCAGCTGAGGGGCATCTAAGTTGTTTGCAGGTTCTGGCTATTACAAATAATGCTGCTATGAACATAGTGGAACAGATGTCCTTGTTGTATGAAGGTGCATCTTTTAGGTATATACCTAAAAGGGGAATTGCTTTCTCTGGTGGTAGACTGAGTCCCATTTTCCTGAGGAATCCCCATACTGATTTCCAAATTGGTTATACAAGTTGGCACTCCCATCAGCAGTGTAGGAGTGTTCCGCTTTCTTCACATTCTCTCCAGCATAAACTGTCATTGGTATTTTCAATTTTAGTGATTCTGACAGGAGTAAGATGGTATCTTAAAGTTGTTTTGCTTTGTATTTCCCTGTTGGCTAAGGATGCTGAGCAATTTCTTAAGTGTCTCTGAGCCATTTTAGACTCCTCTATTGAGAATTCTCTTTTTAGTTCTGTAGCCCACTTTTTAATTGGATTATTTGCTGTTTTGGAGACTATCTTCTTGAGTTCTTTATAAATTTTGGAGGTCAGCCCTATATTTTCCCATTCTGTGGGCTGCCATTTTGTCTGTTTGACTGTGTCCTTTGCCTTATAGAAGCTTCTCAGTTTCAGGAAGTACCATTTATTAATGTTCGATCTCAGTGTCTGTGCTACTGGTGTTATGTTCAGAAAGCTGTCTCCGGAACCAATTCATTCAAGGGTACTTCCCACCTTCTCTTCTAAGAGGTTCAATGTGGCTGGATTCATGTTGAGGTTTTTGATCCATTTGGACTTACGTTTTTGTACATGTTGATAGATATGGATCTACTACATGCCAGCATCCAGTTATGAAAGCACCATTTGTTGAAGATGCTTTCTTTTTTCCATTGTATAATTTTAGCTTCTTTGTCAAAAATGAGGTATTTGTAGGTATGTGGGTTAATATCAGGGCTTTCAATTTGATTGCATTGGTCTACCTTTCTAGTTTTGTGGCAATACCAACCTGTTTTCAGGACTATAGCTCTATTATAGAACTTGACAACAGAGATGATGATACCTCCTGAAGTTCCTTCACTGTACAGGACTGTTTTGGATATCCTGGGTCTTTAGGTTTTCCGTATAAAGTTGATTATTGTTTTTACAAGGTCTGTGAAGAATTGTGTTGGGATCTTGATGGAGATTGCATAGATTGCTTTTGGCAAGATTTCCAGTTTTACAATGCAGATCCTACCTATCCAAGAGCATGGGAGATCTTTCCATTTTCTGGTATCTTCTTTAATTTCGTTCTTTAAAGAGTTAAAAGTTCTTGTCATATAGGTCATATAGGTCTTTCATCTGTTTGGTTAGAGTTACCCCAAATATTTTATGCTTGTGATGTCTCTCTGATTTCTTTCTCAGCCCATTTATCATATTTATATAATAGGACTACTGGTTTTTTAGTTAATCTTGTACCCTGACACTTTGCTGAAGGTGTTTATAAGATGTAGGAGTTCACTGGTAGAGTTTTTCGGGTCACATATGGGAACTATTATATCATCTGTAAATAGTGAAAGTTTGACTTCTTCCTTTCCAATTTGTATCACTTGATCTCCTTTTGTTGTCCTATGGCTCTAGCTAGAATTTCAAGTATAATATTGAAGAGGTATGGAGAGATTGGACAGCCTAATCTTGTTCCTGAATTTAGAGGAATCACCTTGAGTTTCTCTCCATTTAGTTTGATGTTGGCTGTTAGTTTACTGTACATTGCTTTTATTATGTTCAGGTATGTTCCTGTAACCCCTGATCTCTCCAGGACCTTTATCATGTAGGGGTGTTGGAATGTGTCCAAGGCTTTTTCAGCATCTAGTGAGATGATCATGTGGTTTTTCTTTTGTAGTCTGTTTATATGGTGGATTATATTGATAGATTTTTTTAATGTTGAACCATCCCTGCATTCCTGGGATGAAGCCTACTTGATCATGTGGATGATTTCTCTGATGTGTTCTTGGATTCGATTTGCCAGTATTTTATTGAGTATTTTTGCATCAATGTTAATGAGGGAGACTGGTCTGTAGTTCTATATCTTAGATGTGTCTTTGTATAGCTTTGGTACCGAGGTAATTGTAGCCTCATAAAAATTTTGGCAAAAACCTTTCTGCTTCTATAGTATGGACCAGTTTGAGGAGTACTGGTATTAGCTCTTCCTTGAATTTCTGGTATAATTCTGCACTGCAAATATCTGGCCCTGGGCTCTATTGCTCAGTATGTGGTCAATTTTAGAGAAAGTTCCATATGGTGCTGAAAAGAAAGTATATTCTTTTGTGATTGGATGCAATGTTCTATAGATGTCTGTTAATCCCAACTAGGTCATAACTTCTGTTACTTTGTTTCTTTTTAAAATTTCTGTCTGGTGGTCCTGTCTAGTGGTAAGAGTGGGGTGTTGAAGTCTCCCATTATAAGTTGTGGTGTTTAATGTGTGATTTGAGTTTTAGTAATATTTCCTTTACAAATATGGGTACCTTTGTTTTTGGTGCATAGAGGTTGAGAATTGAGACTTCATCTTGGTGGATTTTTCCTGTGATAAACATGAATGAAATGATCATCTTAATCTCTTTTAATTAATTTTTGTTTGAAGTCTAATTTGTTAGATATTAGGATAGCTACACCAGCTTGCTTCTTAGGGCCTTTTGATTGAAAAAATTTTCCCAACCCTTGACTCTGAGATAATGTCTGTCTTTGAAGCTGAGGTGTGTTTCTTGTATGCAGCAGAAGGATTGATTCTGTCATCGTATCCATTCTGTTAACCTGTGTCTTTTTATTGGTGTGTTAAGACCATTGATATTGAGGGATACTCATGACCATTGATTGTTGATTCTTGTTTGTTTTGGATTTGTTTTTGGTGGTGGTACTGTTTGTGAGTTTTTCCCCTATTTCTGGCTTTTGGTAAAGTGAGATTATCCGTCACCTATGTTTTTCTGACTTCCTTGGGTTGGAATTTTCCTTCCAGAACTTTCTATAGAGATGGATTTGTGGATATGTATTGTGTAAATCTGGTTTTGTCATGGAATATCTTGTGATCTCCATCTACAGTGATTGAGAGTTTTGCTGGGTATGGTAGTCTGGGGTGGCATCTGTGGTCTCTTAGTGTTTATAGAACATCTATCCAGTACCTTCTGACTTTCAGGGTTTCCGTGGAGAAGTTGGTTGTAATTCTGATAGGTCTGCCTTTGTATGTTACTTGACCTTTTTCCTTTGCTACTCTTAAGATTCTTTCTTTATTCTGTTTGATTGTTGTTTTGATTATTATGTGGCTAGTGGAATTTTTTTAGGCTACTCTAGTTGGTGTTTGGTAAGCTTCTTGCACTTTCATAGGCATGTCTTTATTCAGTTTGGGAAAGTATTCTTCTATGATTTTGTTGAATAATTTTTGTGTACCATTTTAGGTAAGCTTCTTCACCTTCTTTCTATATTATTCTTAGGTTTGGTCTTTTCATGGTCTCTCTTATTTCCTGGATACGTTGTCTTAAGGATTCACTGGATTTAAGATTTTCTTTGATTGATGAATCTATTTCCTTTAATTTATCCTCAGCACTTGAGGTTCTCTCTTCTACCTCTTGTATTCTGTAGGTTATGCTTTCATTTGTAGTTCCTGATTGTTTACCCAGCCTTTCTATTTCCAGCATTCCATCAGTTTGTGTTTTCTTTATTGTCTCAGTTTTCAGGTTTTGAATGGTTTGAATTGTTTCCTCCATCTGTTTGATTTTTTTATTGACTTTTCTTTAAGAGATTTGATGATTTCTTGCATTTTTGGTTTGTTCTTTTCTTCAGTTTCTATAGGTGATTTTCTCATACCCTCTTTGAGAGCCTCTATAATTTTCATAAAGTTATTTTTGAGGTCATTCTCTTCTGTCTCATCTGCATTGAGATGTTCAGGTCTTGGTGGTGTAGAGTCCCTAGACTCTGGTGGTGTCATATAAGTCTTTCTATTGTTGGATGTGTTCTTAAACTGTCACCTTGCCATCTGTTCTTCCAGTGGATAGAGGTATAGTCTATCCCTCTTCTGGTGGGTCTGGTTCAAGCGTCTATCCTCTTCTCTCTCCCAGATGGTGCAGGGGCAATACAGGAATGGTGACCAGTGTTGGGTGTTTTATTCTGCCTGCAGGTTCCTTCTCTCTCTGTTTGTCTCTCTCTACTGAGGGGTGGAGGGGCAAGACAGGAATGGTGGCTGATACTGGATGCTTTTGACTATATCCAGGTACCTCTACAGGATTCAGTGGCAGGAAGGGTATGCTAGCCTCCTCAGGTTAGGGACTCGGGAAGAGGGAGCGGTAGGTTGAAGGAGCCCCTGAACTCACCGCTCTACTGGAGGGTGTAGGGGCAATGCATGAATGGCAGCCTCCAGGTCCCTTTTTGGGTTTTCATGGCAGGAAGCATCTGGCAGGTTCTGCGGGTCAGGGGACTCAAAGAGGGGGAGCCCTCCAGCTCTTACAATATTTCCATGTCATCTTCTTCAATGATCTCTGAGCCCTAGAGAAAGGGAATGTGCTTTAGATATCCCATTTGATACTTACAATAATGTAAATTCTATGAGCAAATAATTAGTTTTTTCTTTTACTTATGTTTAGGTGTACACACACACACACACACACACACACACTATGGCATGCATGTGGAGGTTGGAAAATGATTTGCTGGCGTCAGTTCTCTCCTGGAGATCATGCATGAAACTTTCCCCACTATCCATATTTCCAGATCTGCAAATGATCATTACATTGAATTGTTTGGGAAATGATGAATTTTAAGCATAGGTATACGTCCAGCTCAAATGCAGTTTTTAAAATATTTTCAATAGGTAGCTGGATGACGACACATTGCGAAAACCACAGATAGTGCAAGTCTGACTACATTTACAATATAGGATGCTTTCCTTTGGCCCTTAGGTCCCTCTGGGTTCATTTCCTTATATAATTTGAGAGAGCCCATTATACATTAGTGTGGTTTCTTTTGTTTTGTTTTTCCCCTAGAATCCTATTTCTGATATCTCTAGACACTGAAGCACAGAAGAGTGGATTAAGATGCCTGCTGTAGCTACCCTCTAGCTTGGGTTGTTCCTTAATGTAATTATTATGACAGCACTGTTATGAATGTGGGTAACATGGCTGAATCTCTGTATCATGTGACTTGCAATCTAGTTCAAAGGTTGAGAGTGGGAACATGGATTCCCAAAGGAAAAGCAAGTGTTTCATGGAGATTGGAGTGGACTTGAGGAACTGTATTTTTTTAAACGGGAGCTCTGAAAAACTCTAAAGGGGTTCTCTGTTTCTCTTTATGATTCTAGATAAAATACAAGAGTACAAACAACGCGTGGTGGAAGAGACCCACCCTGTGTGGAACAACACCATGTGGCCTGGAAACCAAGCAGACTTCTTGTACAGCAGGGTGGAAAACCACGAGGCAATGCTGCCATGTCTCTTTCTACCCAGGAGGCCCCAGGGCAGACAGCCTAAGACTGTGGTCATCCACGGAATTCCGGGTATCGGAAAAACAACCCTGGCCAGAAAGATGATGATGCAGTGGGCGCGCAACGAGTTCTACGCACACAAATTCAAGTTCGCTTTCTACTTCCATTGCCGAGAACTGCACAGGCTGGGGGAGCTCAGCTTCTCTGAGTTGATTGAGCGCCAAAGGCTTAGGCCTCGGGCTCTCGTGTCTAAGGTTTTATCCAGACCAGATCAACTTCTACTCCTGTTGGATGGTTTTGAGGAACTCACATCTCCCCTCGTCACAGGACCAGCTGGTCTGATGGAAGACTGGAACCAGAAGTTGCCTGGGTCTGTTCTCCTAAGCAGTTTGCTAAGCAAAAGGATGCTTCCAGAAGCCACGCTCCTGATCATGGTGAGACCAGCCTCCTGGAGAGGAATTAAAGTCTTAGTCAAATATCCCTTCCATGTCGTCCTGACGGGATTTAACAGGATTGAAGCACTCAACTATCTCAGGTTGTATTTCACAAGCAAAACGATAAGCAACCAAGCTGTGGATTTTGCCATGAAAAACAGCACTCTTTTGTCCATGTGTCGGGTCCCTGTGGTATGCTGGGTGGTATGCTGCTGTCTAAGAACACAAATACAGAAAATGGTAGATCTCACAAAGGCTTGTCCAAATGTAACATCTGTGTTTGTCTTGTATCTGGCTAATTTGTTCCCAACTATATTTAAGAAACTTCCCTATGGTGATTACAAAAAACAACTGGAAGGTGTGTGCCGTCTGGCTGCCCAGGGCATATGGAACCTGAAGAGTGTGTTTGACAAGAGGGACTTTCAGTGTGTCATGGTGGATGAGACCACCATAGACAACTTTCTTTATGTGAACATTCTTCAAAAGCTAGAAGGCCAAGGAGATCGTTATGTGTTTGCCTTGTTTACTTTCCAGGAATTTTTTGGTGCCTTGTTTTATGTTCTCTTTTCTCCCCGAAGAATGATGTATTATCACCCTCTGAGCCATATCAACATCTGGAATCTGATCACAATGTCAAGAGAAAGAGCAATGTTTGGGTATCAAATGGGACTTTTCTTATTTGGTCTTTTTAATGAAGAGTGTGCTGGCATCGCGATGAGGTCCTTCAAGTGCAAATTATGCCTTAAAAACAAATTAAAGGCCATGAAAGTGATAACCAGGTTGAAGGACTATGAAGGCTATGAGTATTCACAGCTATTCCATTGTCTCTGGGAAACCAGGGAGGAGAGCTTTGTAAAGTATGTGCTGCTGGGTTATCAGAAAGTTTCTTTGAAGATCAAGAGCCAGGAAGACCTTCAGACATCTGCCTTTTGCCTTAAGCACTGTGGAGATTTGAAGAAAATGGAACTGACTCTCTCAAGAGACTTCTACAAGGAGCTTTGGCCCAGCTCAGCAGATCCTTCTTATGGTGCTCAGTGAGTGTTTAATTTTGGGTAGTAGTAGCCTGCTTCTTTCTACGGTTCTTACCTCCTGGGAACACGGGGAGCAATTGTGTTTCCACTCTGTTGTTATTGTTCTGTTTTATTGAGGTTTTATATGATGCATGCAAACATTTTGCCTGCATGTATGTCTTGGTATCACATGTGTGTCAAATGTCCTCAGAGGCCAAAGAAGTGCACTGGATCCCCTGGAACTGGAGATCCAGATGGTTGTCAGTCAACATGTGGGTCCTGGGAAGTGAACCTTGTTCTTTAAGGAGCAGCAATTTCTCTGAGACATTTTTTGCAGCCACCTAGGTAGTTTTTTATGTAGGGAGAGGTCTCATGGACCTGCAGCATTGACCACACCTGTTTGGGCATGATCACAGGTACATGAGAGAAACCAGGGATAAAAGAGGGGACAGGAGGGGACCCTACTCACTTGGATTCTGGTCGAGGTTCAGAGATCATAGAGCACTGACCCCGGTTCTCAGCTTCTCATGTAAGTTACTTGTCTCTATCTGAATAAATATCCTACTACCTTTTCCTGGCATCCTTGGCATGACTCATTCCCATTATCAGTTGGTGTCTGCTATTACAACGCCTACACTCGCTTTCTCCTCCTCCTTTTCCTTCTCCTCTCCTGTTTCCTTTTCTTCTTTTTCTTTCTCCTCCTCCTCTTCCATTTTTTCAACACAGGTTTTCTATGTGTAGTTGTGGCTGTCTTGGAACTCTCTCTGTAAGCTTGGTTGGCAGGCTGGTTTAGAGCTCATAAACATTTGCCTGCCTCTGCATCCTGATTGCTGGGACCGACTGTGTGAACTCAGCTACCAGCTTCCTTCTTACAGCCATTTGTGTTAAATATCGTTTTCCATCCTTCTACCCGAGGTGATGACTGTCTTTGATGTTCAGCTGTGTTTCTTGGATGCAGCAGAAGGATGGGCCATGTCTTTTCACCCATTCTGTTAGTCTGTATCTTTTCCTTAAGGTATTGAGACCATAAATGATGAGAGATGATAATGAGCAGTGTTCGTTGATTCCTGTTTGTGTGTGTATGTGTGTGTGTGTGTGTGTGTGTGTGTGTGTGTGTGTGCATGTTTTCTTTCTTTTGATTTCTTGGTCCAGGTTTATTTATTCCTCATGTTTTCTTAGACATGGTTAATCTCTTTAGATTGAGGTTTTCCTTCCAGGATTTTTAGATAGTTTAAATTTGGTTTTGTCATGGAATATATTATTTTCCCATTATGTGCCAAAGGTACTTTCTTTTCTGGTACAGTCTCTTATGTGTTCTTTTGTTTATTTTGTTTTGTTTTTGTTTTTTGAGGCAGTTTCTCTGTAGGATGGTAACCTGTCATTGAACTAGCTCTGTGGACCAGGCAGGCTCTGAACTCACAGAGATCTACCTGTCTCTGCTTCCTAAGAGCTGGGATCAACACCACCACTCAGCAGTTCCTACATTTCCATTGTATATTTTCCTCAGTTTGATTTTTTTATTGATTCTATTCACATTTTTGGGCCTTGAAGTGTTTTGTTCATTTCCACTGCTTGTTTGTGTTTTGCAGATTTAAGGGATTCATTCATTTCCTCTTTAAGGACCTCTATCGTCTTCAGACAGGCTGTTTTAAGGTCTTTTGCTTGTACTTCAGCGAGGTTGGAATGTTCTGGGCAAGCTGTGCTATGGTTGCTGGGCTCTAGAGAAGACATACTGTCTTGGTTGTTACTGGTTGTGTGTTTATGCTGGCACATAGGCATCTGGGGTTGAGGAGACTGTAACTCCAGGTTCTGATATCTGCTCTTGTCTTTGATGGATGGGCATTTTGTTCCTGGTTTCTGGTGGCATCTCTGATACTGTGGTGACTCTGTTTTGCTTGGTGTAGGAAGTTCTTCTGGGATATTTCTGGCCACTGGGGGTCACAGATAGAATATATTTCTAGATGTCATTACCAGGAGCTGATGTTTAACAATGGGGTTAAGCTAGGCAGGGGAGCGTGACAGGGACCACAGTAGGGAGGAAGCAGGTGCTCCACCTGGATCTGCTTAGTCCCCTGGAAAAAGGGACAGAAAGTGAGGAGAGGCCACAGAAGGTGTGCTATAGGGCTGGGGATGAGACTGGGGATTGGACTTGGAGGAATAGAGGGAAAGGTATATATTTTAGTTAGCCTACCAGCTTAGCTGGCCATAGTGGCCTGTGGGTTCCCTGAGAATGCCTGTTGGAGTTGGCGGCTGGGATAAAGCAATGAATGGGGAGAACAGAGCTTGGAGGAAGATCTGTGTGATCCCCTCGGAATTGGGAAGGGGAGGACTGAGCGTGTGTCTGCTACACAGCTGGAGATCAGACTGTGGGGCTGGTTTTGGAGGAGCTGCAGTGGGAGGAGTGTAGGGTTGCAGTTAGACTACCTGCTTCCCTGGCTGGAGTGGCCCGTAGGATCCCAGGCTACTGAGTGAACTTTTACATTAAAATTTCCTTGAGTTTAACGCCACTCTTGGGCCCTTTACCCTTTTTAAAAAATCTTCTTTTCACTTAGAGTGGAAGAAAATGAGATTCTTTTCACCTGGTGGCAAGATATCTGCTCTGTGTTTGAAACAACTGAAGGTTTGAAAGTGCTGGCTGTCACTGACAGCATCCTGGAGGCCCCATTCATGCAGATATTCACCAGGGCCCTGAAGCAGCCCCACTGTAAACTGCTAAGACTACAGTGAGTACCGTTTTCTGTATTTGCTTACTTTTCTGTTACTAAAATACACTGACAAGAAATCAGTGAAGGGAGAAAGGGCTTTATTCAGCTCACATTTCCAAAGAGATAGAGCCCACCATGCTGGCGAAGGCTTGGCAACAGGCACCAGGCAGTGGAAGGAGCAGGAAGACGGCTGTTACCTTTTCAACCACTCTCACAGGGATGCTCAGGAGAACAGGAAGTGAGTCTGAGCTATGGAACCTTAAGACCCACCTCCAGTGACATGCTCCCTCTAGGGAGGCTCCACCTCCTAAAGGCTCCATGACCTTCTCCAAGGACACCAAAACTACAGACCAAGTGTTCAAGCGCAGGAACCTATCTGGGTTCAAATTCAAATCCCAACAAGTAGCAAAATAAATATATCCCAGACAACAGTGACCACTTCCTGCCTGGAAGAAAGTTAGTGGAAACATCCATTCCATTTAGCTTCCTTATTCCTCCATTTCATACTCCATGTACAAGAAACGCACACGTTAAGATATTTTTTAAATAATTGCATTGTTTTTAGTGTCTCTCAATGCTTTATATTTGTAATGTGTTTCTTTATGGCATTTTCATATGTATTTTCTTTTGTTGTGTGTATAGATGTGTGTGTATGTGTGTGTATGTATGTGTGTATGTGTGATGGTCTGAGGTCAATGTTGGGTATTTTAATTGCCCCCCCTCTTTTTGAGACAGGGTCCCTTACTGAAGCTAGAGCTTACTCGTTCATCTAGGCTGGCTAGTCAAAAGTCCCTGAGATCCTCCTGCTTATTTCTCTAAACACTGGGATGATAAATCCCCTGCTTTTGCTTCAAGTGCTGGGATCTTACACTTGGCAGCAAGCACTCTACCCCCTGGGTATCTCCCCAGCCCTGGTGTCACTCTTTTCCAAGGCTGAATAGTATTCAGGTGTACACATACCACACTTCTCCCATTCACTACTGATGGGTGTGCTCTGGTCAGCTCTCAGTAGGGTCATTACTGTGTTCAGAAAGTGAATTTGAGTTGGTAGGTGAGTGAAACCACACATCAAGGAGCCAGAAGTCATGACAGTTCCTACCGTGCTGATAACTGGCTCCATGACTACTGAGGGAGGAAATTATAGGATGGATTACTGGTCTTCTGCCAATGTACTCTGAAGTGTGTCTGCATTTTATTTCAGCTTTCAGGAGGCATAGGCAGGTGGTTCTGTATTGGCTTGAGGCCAGCCTTTCTGCATGGTGAGTTAGAGACCAGCAAGGCTAGAGAGACCTTGCCTCAAAAAACAAACATTAGTAATACTACCACTACTCATACTAATACTAATAATAATACATTTTAGAGGATCATCATGGTGAGAAGGTTAAATGTAGCCATGCAGTAGAGCCCACAGAACCATACCTGAGAGGAGTGTTGTGTCACTCTAGAAATCATTAAACCTGTAACCCTGGCTCCAGAGAGTCCAAAGCCCTCTTTTGGCCTCTGTGAACACACACATGTGCACACACACAAACACACACACATACACACACAGTGCTTTATTTAATCAAAAATATCTAACCCCAGTTCTTTTGGATGTTAAACAGTACACCCCATCTCTGGGGCTTTTAAGATCTAGCATAGTAACAATTCATCACATAAACAAACCACTAATTCTTCCTAAAACACAACATTGCGTCTCCCACAGGCCTAGACCACTATCTGATGACCTTTTCTCCTGTCATCATAGCTGTCATTGGCTCCCTTGTACTAAGCGCCTACCATAGCACAAGAAGGATACTGAGGGAGCTGGGGAGCTGGTTCAGTCAGTAAAGCGCTCGCTACACAACACAAGGATCTAATTCTGAGTCCTAGCTAGCACTTAACAGCCAGGCAGGGCCGTGCAAGCCTGTAGTCTCAGCAATATGAGGCAGAGAAGACAGAGGGCCTACTAAGCTAAATGGCCAGCTAGTCTAGCCAATCAGTACAGTCCAGCTTTATTTAGTAAAAGACTCTATCGTTTATAAAAATGGTGCCAGGTGGTGGTGGCACAAACCTTTAATCCCAGCACTCAGGGAAGCAGATGCAGGCGAATCTCTGTGAGGTCGATGCCAGCCTGATCTACAGAGTGAGAGCCAGGACAGCCAGGGCTACACAGAGAAACCCTGTATCAAAACAAATGGAGTGTGATCAAGGGAGACACTCAGCACCAACATCAGGGCTCCATACACATACACACACTCACACACACACTCACACACACTCACACACACTCATACACACATACTCACACATGCACACACACTCGCACATACACACACTCATACACACACTCATACACACATACTCACACATGCACACACACTCATACATACATACTCACACATGCACACACACTCACACATACACTCACACATACACACACTCATACACACATACTCACACATGCACACACACTCACACATACACTCACTCATACACACACTCATACACACATACTCACACATGCACACACACTCATACACACATACTCACACATGCACACACACTCACACATGCACACACACTCACACACACTCACTCATACACATATACATACACACACTCATACATACATACTCACAAATTCACACACACTCACACATACACACACTCACACATTCACACTCACTCACAAATGCACACACACTCACACATACACACTCACATACTCACACATACACACACTCACACACTCACACACAGAAAGGATGCTGTGTGCTTTGCTGAGATAATGTAGGGCAATTTGCACCTATACCTCATGGAGAACGTGTCGTGTGCTCACTGAGAAACTTACGCGAGGTCCTTCCACTGAAGAGATTGAAGGAAGAGCTGAGAGAAGACACTTGGAGAGACATACATGCTTTTCCTAAGTTACTCATTCATTCCTACTCATTGTTCTCAGTCTTGGCACTGATATGACTGCTTTGTGTTGGTCTTAAGGGATGATGTTCTAAAGTCACTTGTTACCCTCCCAAGACCCTGTCTGTCTCATCAGCTGTCATCATGTTGTTGGGGGGTGATGACCACAGAAATGGTAGAGATGGGACCTGGGAATGAGCAATCCATCTGTGATGTACCTGTCATGAAAGTATGAAGACCCGAGTTCAAATCCCTGACACCCATGTTAAAAAATAATCTTAGTGACCCTTGGGGCTCAATAACCAGTCTGTCTACATGAACCAGTGAACTTTCGGTCAGATGACAGACACTGCCTCAAAAAAAATCAGAAGTGCTGGAGAGATAGGTCAGCAGTTAAGAGTGTTTGCTCTCACAGAGGACTGAAGATCAGTTCTTAGCACCCACATTGGGTGACTTTAGTCACAACTGCCAGGAACTCCAGCTGTATGCAGAAACTGATGCTCCCTGATGGTCTCCTTGGATCCCTGCAAACACTTGGCTCACATACCCACTCTGGCACACACTCCCATGCATGCATGAATACAAAAAAAATCTCTGTAAATAAGGTTGAGAGTAAACGAGGAGGGCTTCCAGTGCTGACCTCACACTCACGCATATGCAAGGTCACCGAAGCCCTTTAGTAATGGGATGCGTTTCATCCTCCAGTTTGAGGTATGCGAGTCACATGTTGTGTGAAGACCTATCCTGCGTTTTGACTGAAAACAAGCATCTGCGACAGCTGTGGATAGAACACACAAGACTGGCAGGCGAGGCCATGAAATTCCTGTGTAGCGCGCTGAGATCGCACCACTGTCTTCTGCAGTTTGTGAGGTAAAGGCGGAGGCTGGAATTGCTGACAGAGCTTGGATGGGTGGTCTTTGCAGAATTAATGATCACATCGTGTGCTCTGTGACAGCCTGGCTTCCTTTTGTTTTATTCAACAATAAAGAATAAACTGATGACAATTGCCTTGGATAATACCTAGAAATGGGATCGCTAGTTCATGTGTTAGCATTGCTGTTCTTTTTGGTTTTTGCAAATTTTAGGGTTTTTTTTGGTGCTTTGAATTTTTTAATGGTTAGATATGTTTATTTTATGTGTATGGATATTTTATCTACATATATGTATAGGCACCACAAGCATACAGTGCCCTTGTAGGCCAGAAGAGGGCACCAGATTTCCTGGACTGCAGTTACATATGGCTGTGGTGGGTCACTTGTGTGCTGGAAACTGAACCCAGATCCTTTGCAAGAGCAGCCCGTGCTCTTCACCTCTGTGACATCTCTCCAGCCTCCAAGTTCTTTTTCTAAGTTCTTATTGGCGTAAATTTATTGTGCAAGTTTCTGGATCTAATAAGGACATTTTCACATAAAATGCATAAAAAATATATGCTTTTGATATATTTCCTCCTTGGCCGCAATGCTATGTGACACTATCCCTGGAGAGACTGGAACATGTCCACTCACCCCAGATATAGAACTGAAAACTAAGTAATGATATCTCCAAAGTCTACAGTTATATAGGTGAGGGGCAACTTACAGAAGCATATACAACTTGAAACCAGTTGCTACACTGAAAGCCCACCCTAGCATGGGAGATGACTCACATAAGCTGGCACCTTATACCTCAATGCACAACTTCCTGAAGACTCAAAACTTTAGAGAGTTTTCTTCCAGAAAGCTTAGCTGGTTGGAGTCACCTCGAGTTTATGAAGCTAAGAGCAGCTCCTGCAGTTATCCTCATTTAAAGAGGTAGAATATGAGACAGAGGAAGGGTCCTTGAGGGCACCATTTATCCCAGGAGTAAGGCTTTCCATCTATGTCTGACATGTCTAGGTTGGAGTACTGTGAGGCCACCTCTAGAGACTGGTATTATCTCGCCAGTGATCTTCAAAGGAATGCACAGCTGAGGACCCTACTGATGAGACAAAATTCCCTACATATATTCAGTGTGTACTACCTGCTAATGAGTCGCCTCAGGGAGCTGGCGTAAGTTGAACTTCTTTTCCTGCCATTATCATTTGGTAGCTTCATGGCTTCCATGAGAAAATACTTTGCCATAATGGTAAAAGGTGCACGTATTTAAAAGGGTAAGTCTTCTGGTTGATGCGATTGTACAGCTATGTAAATGAGCATCCAGGAAAATAATGAGGATGCATGACAGAGGGTGGGAACACAAGATGTGTAATATCTGTGCTGACTGCTTTCATCAACTTAACACCAACCTAGACATGTCTGGAAGAGGAATTCTTTTGGTTTTCCTTTTTTACATTTTTTTATTTCACATACCAATCCCAGTTCTCCTCCCTCCCCCATATTCCTGTCACCCCACTCTCCATCCACTCCTCAGAGAGGGTGAGACCTCCAATGGGTAGTCAACAAAGTCTGTCACATCACTTGAGGCAGGACCAAGACATTCCCCACTGTATCTAGGCTGAACAAGGTATCTCTCCATAGGGAATAGGCTCCAAAAAGCCAGTTCATGCACTGGGGATAAATAGTGGTCCCACTGTCACTGTCAGTGGCCCCATAAATAGTTACCCACATTCACAGGACCTAGTTTTCAGTGAGCTACCACTTGCTCAGGTCAGCTGTTTTTGTGGGTTTCCCAGCATGGTCCTGACCCCTTTGCTCATATTATTGCTCTTCTGGATGAGGGGATTTTTTCCTCATTTATTTTTTTAAAGATATGTATTTATTATGTATACAATGTTCTTCCTGCATGTATGCCTGCAGGCCAGAAGAGGGTGCCAGATCTCATTATAGATGGTCACAAACCACCATGTGGTTGCTGGGAATTGAACTCAGGACCTCTGGAAGAGCAGTCAGTGCTCTTAACCTCTGAGCCATTTCTGCAGACCCTGGAAGAGGGAATTTTTTGTTTGTTTTTCCAGACAGGATTTCTCTCTATTGTTTTAGAGACTCTCCTGGAACTAGCTCTGCAAACCAGGCTGGCCTCAAACTCACAGAGATCTGCCTGCCTCTGCTTCCTGAGTGCTGGGATTAAAGGCTTGAGGCACCAACACCTGGCCTGGAAGAGGGAATCTTAACTGAGAAAATACCTTCATCAGATGGGCCCACAGGCAAGTCTGTAGTATATTTTCTTGATTAATGATTGATGTGAGTGGGCCCATTCCACTGAGCTTACCCCTGAGCAGGTGGATCTGGGGGCTGTAAGAAAGTAGACTAGGCAAGTAGTAGGTTATATCGTGAAATAAGGCCTTCCTCCCCAAGCTGCTTTTGGTCACAGGATTTTATGAAAGCAATAGGAATCTACCTAGAGTTGGGGCTCAGCAGTTAAGAGCATTTAATACTCTAGCAGAGACCCCAAGTTCTGCACCCAGACACCCATGTGGGGTAATAAAATCAGCCTTTAACTCCATCTCCAGGGGCTCCAATGCCCCTTTCTGGCATGTGTGGTCATCTGCACTCATGTGCACACACCCCCACGCAGACACACACGAATAATTTAAACATTAAAATAAATGTTTTAAGGGTATTGTGGTGGTTTGAATAAAATACCATAGGGAGCCTTACTATTAAGAAGTGGCACCGGGTGGTGGTGGCACACGCCTTTAATCCCAGCACTGGGGAGGCAGAGGCAGGCGGATCTCTGTGAGTTTGAGGCCAGGCTGGACCAAAACAATACAGAGAAACCTTGTATCGTAAAAACAACAACAACAACAAAAAAGAAGTGGCCTTATGGAATAGGTGTGGCTTTGTTTGAGGAGGTATGCCATTAGGGGTGGGGCTTTGAAGTCTCAGAAGCTCAAGCCAGTTCACTTCCGGTTGCCTGTGGATCAAGAGGTAGAACTCTCAGCCCTTCCTCCAGCACTGTGTCTGCCTGTCCCATCGTCTTGTTTCCCACTGTGATGATAATAGACTAGCCCTCTGAACTGGAAGCTAGCCCCAATGAAATGCTTTCCTTTGTAAGTGTTGCCATGGTCATGGTGTCTCTCCATAGCAATAGAAGCCCTAACACAGGTACATACTTACATCTAATGGACTAGTCTATATCATTGCAATGAGTTCTGTGTTTCCACCATCCAATGAATGAAGCAGACATTATCATAACTGTCTTCTTCCCTCTCTGCTCATATCAACCATGTTGAATGCAATGGAACTGGCTGGACTCTTTTAACTCCATGTCAGTATTACTACACACATGTCCTTAAGCAGAATGGCACACGGGTTTATATTACCTTACATTTTATACAGACAGTGGTGTCTGTTCTGCTTCCTCTTTTGATGAACAGCTCATTTTTAATGGTATGTGTATGTGTGTGTACATACATGCATGCTTTTAATGGACATTTTAGGAGCAGAACTCCAGAGCTGAAGAGGGTTCATCTTTCATCTGCCAGGCTTTGTGGCTGGCTATACCTGTTTCTAGTCCTATCTGCAACACACAGCAGAGTTCCCAGGGCTAGAAGTTTCTACTCACTCTGGTTTTTGGTTTTGTCAACCTCTTGAACTACAAACAGCACTTTGTTGTTTCAGTTGATACTTGTTGATTTTTGTGACTGACCTTACTTTTTATTTTTGTGTATGCACCCATGCATGAATGTCATGGTACACATGCAGAGGGCAGAGGACAACTTACAAGAATCAGTTCTCTCACAACCCTCTGCTGGTTCCAAAATCTAACTTAGCTCATTCAGGTTGGCAGAGAGAGCCTTAGCCTTCCAAACATCTGGTTGTCTGACAGTCTTCCTGTTCTTTGTGGCGTCCCTGTTGCCATGCCTGAATATGCACTTAATGTGTCCCTCCCTGTCATTGTCTCTTTTCGTTGTTTTCTTTCCCCTGTTTGTTTTTTTGGAGACTGGGCTTCTCTGTAGCTTTGGAGCCTGTCTTGGAACTCACTCTGTAGACCAGGCAAGCATCAAACTCACAGAGATCCACCTGCCTCTGCCTCCCGAGTGCTGGGATTAAAGGCGTGATCCACCAATGCCCAGCAACAAGGGACAGTTTTAATTCTCTTCCACAACTAGGTTTTGTGTGTGTTTTTATTGCGTGTGTGTGTGTGTATGGGTTTGTTGTGTGTGTGTGTGTACTGTCTATATCTGTGTTTATGTGTTTTTGTGTGTGCTGTGTATGTGTGTGCTCTGTGTATGTGTGCAATATGTGTAGTATGTGTTTGTGTGTAGTGTATGTGTTTGTGAGTGTGTGTGTGTACTGTCTTGCGTGAGTTTTGTATGTGTGTGCTTTGTGCATGTGTGTAGTGTCTCTGTGTTTTTTGTGTAGCATTGTGTGTGAATGTGTGTAGTATGTATGTGTGTGTGTGTGTGTCTTCATGTGCCTCTGTGTGTGTGTGTGTGCTATGCTGAGGTGGGAGCACTTTAACCTGAGCTTTCTAGAAGCAGAAGGCTTCCTATTGCTCTATCACGTGCTCTTAGCATTTTCAACTTCTGTGGGAGAGAAGGTAACAGAGTGAAGAAATAATGGGGTCAGGAAAGCAGTATGATGGAGACGGAAACAGAGAGGGCTCAGCAGCCGAGAGCACTGGCTGCTCTTCTGAGTTGGGTTCACAGCACCTACACGGTGGTCACAACCATATATAACTCCAATTCTAGGGAATGCACTGCCTCCTTCTGACATGCATGCTGCCCACAGACATGCATGCAGGCTGACTCTCATGCACATACAGTAAAACTAAACAAATATTTACAACAAGTACAGCAAAAGCTACCCCAGGAAGAGACAGAATTCTAGCAGTTAAAAATGGAAGGACACAGCTGGGCAGTGGAGGCACAAGCCTTTAACCCAACACTCAGGAGGCAGAGGCAGGCGGAGCTCTGTGAGTTCAAGACCAGCCTGGTCTACAGTGTGAGTTCCAGGACAGGCTCCAAAACTACACAGAGAAACCCAGTCTCGAAAAACCAAAACGTGTTTGTGTGTGTGTGTGTGTGTGTGTGTGTGTGTGTGTTGGAACCAGAGACGTCAAGGACACCACAAGAAAACTCACAGAATCAATAACCTGGGCTCCTAGGAACTCAACAGATACTAAACCAACAACCAAGGAGCCTGTATGGGGCTGATCTAGACCCTCTGTGTATATGTGACAGTTGTGTAGTTGGTCCTCTTGTGGGACCTCTAACAGTGGGAATAGGGCCTATCTCCAAATTACAGGCTTTTAGGACCCTATTCTTCCTAATACTGGTTCACCTTGCCCAGCCCTAATGTATGGGGAGGTGCTTAGTCTTACTGCAACTTGGTATGCCATGATTTGTTGATACTCATGGGAGAACTGTCCTTTCCTAAACATAAATGGAGGAGTTGATTGGGGGACTGGGAGAAGAAGAGGGAGGGGAAACTTTGTTCAGGATGTAAGATAAATAAATTTCTATTTATGTATATGTATATATGGATAAATATATGTGTGTATACATACTTGCATGCATGCATACACATGAACTGTCCCTTGTCTGTGTGTTTCTCTTCACAGGCTGGAGAACTGTAACCTCACTGGGATCTCCTGTGAAGGAATTGCCTTCGCTCTCAGGCACAATAAGATGCTGACCCACCTGAGCCTGGCAGAGAACAACTTGAGGGATGCAGGGTCGAGGCATATCTGGAGAGCTTTTAAATATTTAACATGTCCTTTGCAGAGACTGGTGTAAGTCTACAAGTATTTTCTTCCCGGAACTCAGTAGTGGGGAGGGGAGACTAGGAGGCTATTAAGGATTCACTTATGCAGCAGGATAAGTATCTTGATGGTTTAGTTTCTTTTATAATATGGAAGCAGCTGAGAAGAGACTCTCAGTGAGTGACTGTCTGGATCAGAGACTGGACCTTTGAGCATGCCTGTGGGAGATTGCCTTGAATGTGTTCATTGGAAAGACTCAGACTGAAAGTGGGTGTCACCATTCCCCTGACTTGTGACCTGGACTGTATGAAAGTAGACAAAGTGAGCAGAATATAAGCATGCATTTATTCTCTCTCTCTCTCTCTCTCTCTCTCTCTCTCTCTCTCTCTTTGTGTGTGTGTCTGTCTGTCTCTGTCTCTCTTTGTCTGTCTGTCTCTCTGTCCCTCTGTGTGTGTGTGTGTGTGTGTGTGTGTCTGTCTCTGTCTGTCTCTCTCTGCTCTTGTCTGTGGATGTGACAAGCTGCTACAAGGTTTTCCATGGACCTGGACTTTGCCTGCTATGCTAGGGTGGAGTGAGCCCACAGCAGGGGGCGTGGTACTTATGCAGAGGGTGATGGAGTGCTGACTGGCTTGACCTTGTGCAAACCTTATGCAGACCACTAAGGCTTCTGTGAGATGATGAGTGAGTTCAAAGTATAGAGGAAAGTTGTTACTACTGTCATTTTGTAGGCAAATTATCTAGTGGCCGAGTCCTACTTAACCCAGTTGTCTGAGGTGAGATGAAATTCCAAACTTAGGCCTTAACCCACACAGTGGAAATTTTCAGATTTTAAGGATGCTGAGGAGCATCACTGGGGGAGCTACTAGATGGAGGTACTGAGCCTGAACACTATATTACATTAAATTTCTCTTGGCAGTGCTTGTGGTGTCACACACTGGTAAGATTTGATGAAGGAGGCATTGGCAGAAGGATCACCAGTTTGATGCAAACCTGGGCTCCTGGGCTACACGTTTTAAGACAGGAAGCGGTGGCACCACTACTAAGGAGGCAGAGGCAGGCAGAAGTCTGTGAGTTCCAGAACAGCCTGGTCTACAGAGTTAGTTCCAGGATAGCCAGGACTGCTTCACAGAGAAACTCTGTCTTAAAAAACTAACCAATCAAAAATTTCTCTAGGCAATCTCATTTATTTGCAAAGCTGTGTTTCTGTTATGCAGTTATGGCAACAGGAACCTTCCTAATTAAATGAGGGAAAAGGGGAAACCTGAATGAATGATGCTGAGAGACTCAGTTTCCTGCCTTAGGGATAATGTCTTCTTGCTACCAATCTGCTGCAGTGGACCAGAATGCTGCTGCTGCTGCTGCTGCTGTTGCTGCTGCTCCTCCTCCTCCTCCTCCTTCTTCCTTCTCTCTCTCTCTCTCTCTCTCTCTCTCTCTCTCTCTGTCTCTCTCTTTTGAGACAAGGCTTCTATGTCTGTCTTTGGAACCTATCTTGGAACTCACTTTATAAACCAGAGATTCGCCTGTCTCTCACTCCTGAGTGCTGGGATTAAAATCACGTGTCACTAGCACCCAGCCCAGAATGCATTCTAAATGATTCTCTGTTGACCACTTATCTTGCACTGGCATGTATTCCTTAGACAGGTTTCCTCAGAGTCCATATTAGTCATTTCCTCCTTGGTGTGTCCAAATACCCAACAAGAAGTTACTCCAGTGAAAAACACTTCATTGTGGCTCAAGGTTTGAGGGGAATACTCATTCTGTCCTGATGGGAAAGACATAGTGGCAGGAGCATGAGGCAGCCGGACATATTGAGTCTGTAGGTGGGAACCACAGAGCAGACAGGAAATAGCACAACAAAGCCTCCCAACTCAGCTGGCAAGATGCAAAGCTTGACAACCAGAGTTAGATCCCAGGGACCAATGTGGTTAAAAGAGATAGCCAAGTCCTGTAAAGGAGATAACCAAGCCTTGAACAATGCCTTTTGACCTCTCAATGTGTGCATTATGTCATCAGCAGCACACACACACACACACACACACGACATGCACACATATACACAATGCACACACACATGTGCACACGGAAGCACCCAGGGATTTTCACACATCACACATACACATATCACTGCATCCAATTAGTGCTACCTATTAGCAACATGCATGTGTGGACATCTATTAGAGCATCAGCAAGCTACTGGCGACCACACACCCCAAAGGAAATGAGTCTCCCTCACCTAGCTGCCATCAACTACAACAAGCTCTTTGGTTAGGGGTGAGGACTTGTTAGTCCCTCCCCAACGTATGGTGGATTTTTAGCTTGATCTTGAGCAGGTCTCATGTCAGAAACCATAGCTGCTGTGAGTCAGTGAATGCAATAGTTATGCCATGACCAGAAGGCAACATTCCACAGCTCTCCTCCCCATCTTCCAGTCCTTCCTGTTTTCCCCACCATGTTCTCTGAAAGGTAAATAAAGACATCATATTTGACAAAAACATGGAAGCAGTAAGTGCCGTCCAAGATTGTTCTGGTTGTGTCTTTACAGACTGAGGCAGTGTTCCTTGACTTCAGCTTGCTGTAAGTACATGACGTCAGCTCTCAAGAACAACAAAAGCCTGAGAAGTCTGGACCTGAGTTGCAATAGGCTGAAGGACGATGGGGTCATCCTACTCTGTGACGCTCTGGCAGATGCTGACTGCAACGTGTCAATTCTGGAGTGAGTCTCCCTCCATTTTCTCCTCTGAGGCCAGGGTTCTTCTACATTGACTTCTCTCAGGGTGCTCTTCCAGATTGTTCCTTCCACTCAGGAGTCTGGAAGCTCCAGAACAGTCATTCTGAAAATATGGTTTTACCTGGAAAGTGCTTACCAATGTACATTTTGTTGGCTACCCAGTATTGCTGACCACTCCTAAGGCTGCTTCTCTAGAGCCTCATACACAACTTGTAGGCAACCCCACTGAACAGTCTCCTCAGCAGTTATTACCACTTATAACAAGCAGAGGGAGGAACCTTGTGAGTCTTGTAAATTTGGGGAACTTTCTGGGCCTTGCAAGTTTCAGTTTCTTACTGGCTTTTTGAGCACGCCTCCTCCACCTATCAGGAGGGAATGTAGCAAACAGCTATAAGTGCCAAGTTTACATGCTGGCATATTAATTTTTTTATCCCTGTAGGCAAGAATCCTCGCTGAGTCTGAAGCTTGCCAGTGGCTTGCAATGTGGCTCAGCTTTTGTGTGATCTGGGGCTGTGCACTCTGTGTGAGCTGAGTCCTCAGAGGTGGGACGTGCCGACTTCACCCCGTCTGTGTCTTTCCCACAGGCTGGAATGGTGCGGCTTCACCTCCTATGCTTGCCATGCTATAGCATCCATGCTTGGCAGTCACAGGAAGCTGATGTACTTGGACCTGAGCAAGAATGTCATCGGAGTCAGTGGCATACTGACCTTGAGCCTGGCATTCTTGTCGCATAGGCAGGGAGAAGATGTCATTCTGTAAGTTCTATGAGAATCTTGCTTCCTAAGAAGAATACTGGAGCCTCAGTAGCAGCTGAGAAGAGGTTTAGCATTTTTTTTACATTAAAATGCAGAAGACTGGTATGCCATTATGTCACTAATTAGTGTTTAATGCAGTCTGACTCTCATTTCCCTGAATTCATCTGTGGTTGGGTTCCCCAGGGAGGTATCTTCTGGTATCTAGTATAGATAGCTGCCTTCCTAAATCCCCTATCCTTTGGGTTCAGAACACTGAGCCTCATCTAATGTACACCCAGGGGTCCTCATATCCTCCTGTTCTGATGTCATGTCAGGCATGAGGCCGTTTCCCAATCCCAGGATGAACTGAGAGCACCTGGACACATAGGTGCCACTGTCAGCTAAAGAAGGTGGGACCTCGGGCCTCCTGTTTATCGGCAGTTCTATAATGAGTTCTCCAACAAATGACTGTAAAGCCCTATATCCTACAGGCCTCAGTTGGCTTCCCGTGCACAAACACAACTCACAATCTCCCTGTGGAGAATGAAATGCTACCATGGGTGTTTCCAGGAATCTGACTGATTTCTAGGAGCAACCAGTTTCCTTCATGTGCCCTTTAGACCAGCCTCCTGCCTCATGTGAAAGGGATCTGTGTCCTCCTGACTGCTACGCCCTTGCCCTTCATCCTTTCCTTTCTGTTTTCTTCATTTTATTTTCTGCTTTTGTTCCTTTTGTTTCTACTTAGCCCTGGCTGGCTTCAAACTCATCATTCTCCTGCCTCAGCCACCTGAGGGTTATATGGCATGTATCAACATGCCCTTCCCCTTCATTCCTTTCTCAGTTGTAGACTTAATCTTATTGTTGTTGATATTGTTATTATTTATACTGTTCATTAGTCATGTGACTGGGAATAACCTCATCTGTCTTTAGACTGTGGGTGGGTTCTTCGTCCATGAGATTTCAGGAAAACTTGGGGTAATGTGCATGTGAGACACTGAGCACTGTCATGTCATCATCCTGGGGTGGCCAGCGGCAAAGCTGTCATTATGCCTGGTGTATTCCTGCACATATGCCTGCACTATGTATCAAATTATCTCAACATGTGATAATTTAAAGTGGCAGGCAGAGTTTCTGATGAGCATAACTACAAGAGCATTCTGGACAGCCATTCACGTCATGGTCTCTCACCATGGTGTCAGTGAGGCTGCTGGCTGGGTTGTGATCGGAGCAAGGAAGCTGCTGTTCATACATGTGGTCTCCATTGTTCTTGTGATATTAGCTAGTTTCTTCCAGAATGCATGACAAGAGAGATGCCCAGGAACACAGTGAGACAGACATGTGGAGACAGATACAGAGAGATAGAGAGAGAGAAAGAGAGAGAGAGAGAGAGAGAGAAAGAGAGAGAAAGAGAACGAGAGAGCGAGAATGAGAGAGAGGGAAGAGAGAGAGAAATATACCAGAGAGACAGAAATAGATACACAGAGAGAAACACAAAGATGCAAAGAGTCACAGAAACAAAGAGACATACAGACACAGAGAAAGACACATTCAACAGAGACATGTGGAGACAGAGATACTAAGACACTGAGAAAGACAGACACATACATGTGCAGAGACACGGGAGGAGGCAAGTGGAGATAGGATGTGTAGACATGCAGAAGAAGATACATAGGGAGAGAACCATGGACACCAAAAGACAGATGGAGATGAGACATAGAAACATGCACAGGGAGACAAAAACATGGAGACGGGCACACAGGGACACAGAGAGAGATCCGTGTAGGCCGAGACTCACTGATGTACATAAACAGACTTAGGGACACAAAGAGTCATAGAGAAAGGGACAGGGACATACATGGGGGAAAATCAGAGTGATCCACATGGAGACACCAAGACATAGAAGCATAGGGACAGAGAGAGACATGTGTAGGCTCACAAAAGTACACAAAGACAGAAATAGGTGGGACAGAAACAGATGCATAGAAACAAAGAGAGCAGCAGAGAGACAAACAGCGACACATAAACAACAACACACACAGAAAAAGAGAGGCAGTGAGACAAAGACACCTATATAGTGACACACAGAGATAGGGGACATGTGTGCATGCAGAGACACATAGAGAGACAGACACACAGAGACAGAGACGCAGAGCCATTCACAGGGAGACATACTGGGAGACAGAGACAGACACACAGATATTGAGGTAGAAAAGAGACCAAGACACCCATATAGATACACGCATAGGCAAAGAGCCAGAAGGTGACAGACCTTTCTCCCGTTCAGTGTACACCCCATACACCTTCTTTATTCTGTTGGCCACTGTGGTCAGCCCTGGTCCACCAGAATATGAATGGTATGACAGTACCTAGGCTATGGGGGGAGTGCCTAGGAGCACTGCTTACTTTGTGTCCCAAGCAGGTGAGTCACAGCACAGGAATCCAGGCCCAGAACTGCTTGTTTCTAGACATGGCTTCATAATGTAGACCAGGATGGAATCAAACTCACAGAGATCCTCCAGCCTCTGCCTCGTTGGGGTGCTAGGATTAAAGGTGTTCACCACAATGCCCAAGTCAGAGCCAGCTTGTTCTTTGTTTAGTCCTAGCTTCAGGCTGGTCTCCTAGGTGGCAACTTGCTGTGCTAGAGTTTTCCTGGCTCTTCTGGGATTGCAAAGGAATCTTAAATATGAGCTACCAAGCCTTGTTCTATACCCTTCCCAGGGAGAAGACATCGAATGATAGAGTGGACATGTACACAAGGCTAAAGGGCCCAGAGGTAGAGGATGGCTGTCTGAAGATCGTGCAAGACTGGAACTCTTAATGCCTCAAGATGCTATGGATGCAAATCCTTTCTAATTTAAACTGGAAGCAGCTTTTTATTTACAGGCCCTTATTTGAGGGGAACAGGCTAGTTTTCAGGAGCTTGGTGTGAGCCCCCTCTGTCTTAGGGACTATCCCTGTATTCCTATGCAGATCAGACACTGAAGAGGGACCAGATGGTTAGGAGGGTTGGGAAATCTGTTTCACCTGCTGGGGTGCTGGGAGAACTAAATTAAATACACCAGGGATGCACATGGACAAGTGTTCATTAACTAATTGCCCAGCATGTGCACTATTCAGAAGAAATAAACGTGTTCCTCCTCTAACAGTTTGCTGTCATAGGAAATTTTCAAGGGAAGTGACAACATCATGTTTAAGAGGGACACAGAGACAGAGAGATGCATATAGAGCTACATAGGCAGAGAGATATGCAGACAGAGATAAAGAGAAAGACAGAGATAAAGAGACATAGAAGAACAAACAATGGGAAGACCTGCAGGATGCACAGCAGAAAAACATTCAAATGAGGAGTCAGAGATAGGGAGATAAAGACACAATGAGAGAAAGACAGAAAAGCAGAAGACACAGACAGGCAGAGGCATGTCACACAGAGAGACACATCCATAAAGACAGGGACACCGTCACACAAACAGGCAGAGATGCACAGAGACTGAGGGCTTCTACAAATGTGAGGAGGAACTGTGGGATCTACCTGAGATGTCAACAACCAGCTAGACACCTGTGCATCCACGTTGAAGGCAGCTGAACTCCATCCAGGGGCTGCAGAGATGGCTGTGGGGTTAAAGTGCCCGCTGGCTTCAAACTCATCATCCTCCTGCCTCAGCCTCCGAGGACCAGGGTCACAGGCATGCATGTGTACTGAGAGGTAGTGCAGCTGTGCCGTAGAGTAGGTCTATTTTTTGAGGACTCTTCCTACATACTGATGTAGAGATAAAGAGAATGCACAGATTTAAAGTACATTAGTACAATATATCCCTTGACAGGCACCTAGGTCGATCCTGGATCCTGAACAACCACAGTAAAAATTATGTAGCATTATTTTTTCTCTTCCCCCCCTTTTTTTCAAAATTTCTCTCATCCTGACTGCAGTTTCCCCTCCTTCCACTCCTCTTAGTCCCCCTCTTTAGTCCCCCAGACCCACTCCTCTTCTGTTTCCCTTCAGAAAATATCAGGCCTCCCAGGAAGAGCACCCTCACATGGCAGAACAAGTTACAGAAGACTAGGTACAGACTCTTATCAAGGCTGGAAGGGACAATCCAGTGGGAGGAAAAGAGACCCAAGGGCTGACAAAAGATTCAGAGATACCCCAAATCCTATGGTTAGGAGTCCTGCAAAAACAGCAAGCTAACAACCATAGCATCTATGCAGAGGACCTAGCTCAGGCCCATGCAGGCTCTGTGGGTGCTGCGTCAGTCTCTGTGAGACCCTATGAGACTTGTTTGGTCGATCCTGTTCTCCTGGTGTCCTTGCCTCTCGGGGTCCTACAATTCTTCCTCCCCCTCTCCCACAGGGTCCCCTGAGTTCTGTGGCGAAAGATCCCATGGAGATCTCCCATTTGAGCTCTCTCTCTCTCTCTCTCTCTCTCTCTCTCTCTCTCTCTCCTTAATATTTTGTTGTGGTTTCTTCATCTGCTCCCATCAGCTGTCAGAGGAAACCTCTCTGGTGATGACCGGGTGAGGCACGGATCTACTAGCAATTATTTTTTTAAGTAGAGGTGTCTGGGCAAGTGAGATGCTTAATGGGTCAAAGGGCTTACCACCTGATCTAGGTTCCATCTCCAGGATTCACATAGTGGAAGGAGAGAAATGATTCCCATCATGTTAACTTCTGACCCCCATGTGCACACATGCCATGGACACACCCACACATAATCAACCAATGAATGAGTAATAAATAAAGTTTGAGGGAGGTTTGACCATCTGTCCATTTAGACCAGACTGGCTTGAACGTTTTCTGGTCTCCTTCCTTCTTCCAACCACGTGCTGTGATTACAGGCCTGCCCTACCATGCCTGGTATTATGAGATGCTGGGGATCAAACATGGGGCTCCATGTGTGCTAGGCTTGCATGCTACCACTGAGCTATGACCTCCGCCCAATACGATTCATTATTATAAAACACTGTAGTTTCTACTTTCTTTTCTTCTTAATTGTGTGTGTGTGTGGGGTTTGTTTACACAAGTGCCTACAGAAGCCAGAAGAAGGCGCCCCGTTACTCCTGGAGCTGGAGTTTTAGGTGATTGTGAGATAGCCTATGTGGGTTCTGGGAAATGAACTCAGATCTTCTGCAAGAGCAATAAGCACTGAGCCATTTCCTCCACTCCTTCTCAAACCAGAACACATATTACACTCATCCCATGACACCACACACAACACATAAAGGACATACAGAAAGTTTTCACAATTATTTTAGCTAAATAACTTGCTGTCAAACCTGATGATCTGAGTTCAATCCCTGGGTCTCATATGGTAGAAGGAGAGAATCAAACTGTCCCCTGAGAGACATACACACATTCACCTGCATGCATGTACACACTCATATACAACACACACAGTGACACACAGACACATGCATGCAAACAAGAACATGCTAAGTAAATGTAAGTTTTTAAAACTAAGAATAATACAGTGTAGGATTCGTGGTAATGGCTCAATCTGCACAGTGCTCACTGTGCAAGCCTGAGGACCAGAGTTCAAACCCCATAACCCATGAATATAAAGAAAGGGGTTGTGTGCTCCAAGCCAGTCAGGGATATTGTCATTAAAAATGGGGAACGGGAAGATGGCTCTGTGGTTAAGAGCATTTACTGTACTGTTCTTGCAGAGGACCTGGGCTCACCCATGTAGCAGATCACAGCCACCAATGAATCCAGTTCCAAGGGATTTGATGCCCCCTTCTGATCTCCCTGGGCACTACACACACACACACACACACACACACACACACACACACACACACACACACACAAGCACTCAAAGATACATTCAGGCAGAATACACTAAAACACATAAAAAACTAAATTCTTTAAAAAAAATAAACAGCACCTGGGGAACGACACGCAAAGCAGACCACTGGCTTCTACATGCACATTCAAGTACACACTCACAGAGGCGCAGACACACATGCACGAACATATACATCCCAGGACTCGTGATGCAGGGAGATCTCTGAATTCAAGACTATCCAGGACAGCCAGGGCTACACAGAGAAACCCTGTCTTGAAACCCCTGCCAACCCAAAAAAGATTTCAAAATCTTCTAACGATGACATAAGTTTACCAATGACATAAATATTCCAAAATGATATTTAGCTTAATTAGTCATGTCACACTGAATATACTTAATGCAATTTTGTACTTCACACATACACCGGATTATGATTGTCAGCTTGCAGTAAAATTTTAAAAACCTGTAAATGCTAAGCACTACTTCCAGGCTACATTTGTAAAAGGTGAGGACCCATAATACATGCTGCTCAGAAACACCCAGTGGGGTGTGTGAATATCCCAGGTTCTGTGATTGCTGTAAGAATGAGTCTTCATCTGGCCAAGTAGATCTGTGTTTATGAGCCCTGAGCCATGGGTATAAGCAGAGGACTTTAGCTTGGCCCCCAGCACCCAAATTCATACAACCCCAAGGGATCCCATACCCTCTTCTGGCCTCCATGCATACATACTTGCATGTTTTAAATCTCAAGAATAATAAGAATACAAGCTCATGGGGGTGGGGTGGGGTAGATGACCTTCCCCTGAACAGCTGCTGGCCGAGAGGTGGGAGGATGCCAATGTTTGCTCTCCAGCATAGCTGTTCCGGGCCTAGTGGGGAAGGGCCAGTCAGAACTTGCAGACAATGGGCATTAAGTACTTGCTAGCCTGAGCTGCCTCAGAGGCTGTGACCACCCGGGTGTGGAGTGGAGACAGAAGGGCTCTCTTCTTGCAGTGGTTGCCCCTTTGCAGAAAGAGGCTCCGCGCTTGAAGGTGAAATTTTGGGTTACTTCTACCTCAGTTCCAGCTGGTTCTCTGGATTGTCACTGCCTTTCTCAGACCAGTTAACTTGCACCCCACACCCCTGCTCTGTCTTTAGACCAGAGAGAGCTAAGGGGCCGAAGGATCGCGTGGGGTGGAGGTAATGTCACCCCAAGTTTGTTTTTCATACAAACCTGGACTGTGGGGGCATTTAGGAAGGTCCCTTGCCCTTCCCAGACCTGGATGTTAACTGGGGACATGAGCTGGCTGGGGGTGAGCTGATGTCTGGGCCACATTTTATGGGAGTCTGCGTTGTTGCTGGGTTAACTGCGATACTCATGAAATACTGTGACTTATGGTCCGAGAAATGCTATATGAACTGGAGGATTGTTTGTTGCGGTTGCCAAGTGAGAAAATCTGTGAGTGGGACATTGACCAAGTTGAAAGAGATTTGAAGCCCTGTGCTCTTTATTTTCCATGTATGTGGATGAACCCATGTGGGGGTCATGGGACAGTATGCAAGACATGCTTCTCTCCTCCCATGATGTGGGTTCTGGGGGTCAAACTTGGGTCCTTGGGCATGCAGTGGGCGTCCTTACCGCTGAGCCCTGCAGCTTTCCTTGCTTCTATCAAATCATTCCAGACACTCGGGGATGAATGGGTGTGTCTGGGAAGGCAGGAATGATAGTGGAAATGCAGGGTAAAGGAAACTGATGTTTTTTTTGTTGTTGTTGTTGTTACTGTTTGGGGTTTATGTTTGTTTTTAAAAGACTTCACTCTGCAGAAAACAACCAGGGCAGCTTTCAGTCCTCCATGCTTCCTCATGCCCGCCCCCTCGCATATTTTCCCAAAAGTGTCTCAGATGAATCTGTTTTCTCAACTGTTTGTTCTGGTGGGGAAGGAGGGAGGTTGGTGTCTTCCATTCTGATCTCTTAAATCTGGGACGTTCTAAAGTACTTTAACCCAAGGTATAAAGTCATAAATTGCTTCGCAGCACATAAATTTTGAACCAGGGATTAAGGACAACATTGTGGGTTTTATATTAAAAAAATTTTTTTTGCTTACATGAAATTAAGTGAGGTACTGTAAAACCCTTCTCCTATTAAAAAAACCCAAAAAGCCAGAAAGAGTCCCTTCTGGGGAGAAGACTTTGCTGTCACAACATTCTAAAAAGTGAAAGTTCTTGCCTTCCACCCTGTTAAAGCATTTACCCAAGGAACTCCTTTTTCTTTGGCCATTCAGGGAGAATGCCAAGGGGTGAGATCTATGTATATATCTAACTAAAGTTGTGTGAATGCAATGTTTAGCCTTCATAGATTGAATTTTTCACCCAATGGTTGCT